TGTACATTTGCCATCCTGTCTGGAGTGTCTATGTTCACATTTATTTGGAACCGTTCATTGTTTAAACTGATCTTGATTCAGTTCTCCTTTTTTTTCTGTTTCCTATCTAAACCTTTTAAATTTGTGATCATCTTCTACGTGTTTTTTCCAACTGGACGATGGACAGTTAACTAACTAACGCCAAGTTGCCCTGTCCATTGTCATAGTGTTTCTCACTTTATCCCACCCCCCCCCCCCAGATTATTCTTCAGTATAGCGTGTCGCAGTGGCCATATGTTTATCTTCCTGCCCGAAAATCGTGGGTTAGAATCCACATCTGGGTACACTGCTAGAAATGACTCAGTCTGGCAGGTCGACCAGACATTGACAATGAATCTCCAATACTGTCTCTTGTTCATGCTCAAAGAATTACTCAGCACACACACGCGGGAATAGTCCTGTGATTCTAGCTACACGAAAGCTTGTGTCACCGCCATGATCTCCATCGTCATGCTGCTGGTGGTCATGCAGAAGGCACCGCTAGCTTCCTGAACTGTTCTGCCTGAAGAGCGAGCTGTAAATGCCTATGCACTCTTATGTCCTCGTATAATGGACCTGTCTGTGAAGATCATCACATCTGTCTCATCTGACTTGTCACTGATAAGCGCGCATATCCACATTTCCAGAGGCAGTTAGATTTTTAGTTCCTGTCCAAGTTTTTGCACCACAGAGGGTTTAGTAGCCGTGACTGTTTTTTTTTTCAATAACAGTATGCGAGGTTCTGCTCTTTTAATTCATCCCATCTCAGGGACTCCCAGATTTCGCAGAGAGTTCCCGAAAGAGTCCAGTAGCATAGGATGTGAAATGAACACCAATTAAAACTAGCCCTGATGTCACTGGACGAAGAGGTTGAGAAGAGCAAATATGTACGAGGGCTTAAACATCGATTACAGTAATTTATTATTTCGTAGGATGTTCTCTTTTTCGTGCCATTTATATGTCAGCCTGAATATGTTTAAAGAAATTGTCAGTTAGACTGATCGTATTGACAACTCATTGATGTCTCTCTAATGGGTGATTTAATGTATCTCATTAGTGGTCCTTTTATTATTAAAATAGTGGTAACAGATCACCACTGCCTAGACACAAGTATACACACTAGAGTGGCTATAGGATGTGGTAGACACTCGGCTGATTGATTGATTGGCACCGTTCTGTCTTTCCAGATGATAGCTTTATGAGAAGGCATGGGACTCACAGCCCATGGCGATGGCGAGTGTGATTAGCAAGACCCGCCCGTGTCAAGAAAGGTCTTCCACAATGATAGCGTGGGATTTCAGGACCATTGTTGTCAACATTTGTGTTTAATGCATTTCTTCTCAGACGCTCAGCTGTCATCCTTTCTGCAATCATTTCTTCCTTCACCCTCATTCCCTTCCTGATATGCCCTTTCCACACAACACGGTCAATGGCATTTTGTTCCCATGAGTCCACCTCAATACCTGTATTATTCATGTCCCGCGTGCACACATCTTTATACCGAAGTAGAGGTCGGCCTCGACATCTTCTACCTGCCTTTAATTCACCATAAAGGATGTCCTTAGGGACTCTGCCATCCTCCATTTTTCAGGTGTGACCCAGCCACCTGAACCTTCGTAGACAACTGAGCATGGAAAAGACTGTTGTAGTACCTGCTCTTTCCAGCACCTCAGTGTTTGTGATTTTGTCGTGCCAATAATGCCACGTTTCTTTTTAGGCATCGCATGTGAAAGCTATTTAGCCGTCTCTCCTGGTGCAAATAAGTTGACCAAGTTTCACTGCCATAAAGCAGAGTGCTGAGAACACAAGCCTAATATACAAAAGTTTTTGTTTTAATTGTGAGCTTTCTGTTCTCCCAAACCCTCTTTGTCAATCTGCTCATTGTTCTTGCTGCCTTACCTACACTAATGTTGATTTCTTGGTCCAGCGATAGTTTGTATTTTACTGTGGAACCCAGAAAGGTAAAATGTTTTACTGTCTCCAGCTCTTCACCGTCAATATAGATTGTAGGTCTATCACTAATATCTTGCACCATAAGCTTTGTTTTCTTTTTGCTGACTGTTAGTCCAAATTCACATCATGCATCAGCAAAGGCGGATAGTAAACATTGCAGCTCCTCCTTTGAGTGGGTGGTTGCTGCGGCATCATCTGCAAATAGCAGCTCTCTGATAAGTACCTTTCTTATCCAGGTTTTGATCTTCAGCTTGCGAGCATTGTAAAGACTGTCGTCACATCGAGAATAAATGAATATATCACCCTCCTAATCTCGAAAGGCATGTGTCAAAAGAAGTGAAAAGTATATTCCAAAGAGGGTATGAGCAAGTACACACTCCTGCTTCACTTCATTTTTGAATACAAACTCCTCCGATGTTACACCCTCAAAGTTGATTGTACCTTTCATACCTGTGTGGAACGACTCAATAATGCTGAGCAGAGTAGGTAGACACCCGATCCTCTTCAGTGTGTTGAACAGACCTTTTCGACTAACAAAATCAAATGCCTTGGTAAGATCAACAAAAGCAACATACAGTGGTTTATTTTGATTTAAAGTCTTTTAAATTTTCATGCTGATTCGAACTCATTACATTAGTTGCGGAAGGTAACAATCCAGCCACTGCTTTACAGTACCTTGCCAAAGAAATGAAGACGGTCATTAACTTTTACAAAATGTAAGACAGAAGAATGTATTTTTTTTTTAAAAAAAAAGCACTTCCACAGCCTGCTTAATTGCTTTTGTGGCGTAGTCTGTGAAAGGAAAGGTCTCAAGTGGTGAATACAGGAAGTAAAATTGATTGTCTGAAGGACGGATTGACATCAATGACCTAAGTAGTAACTACATCGCAACAATTTGAGCAGTAACTTTAATACAATGATTCGGATAACAAGTTTAATTTAGTGTTCTGGTTTGTAACTTTCTGCAGTAATCTAAATGCAGTGGATGCTTGTATGCAGTAAGCTGACATGCAATTTTAATTCAGGGACATGAATGGCTAACACTATTATGTTAAAGGTATTTTATAACGTTAACCACAGCCACTATGTAAACATTTAACGTAGCCCACACTATAAAATAACATTAACCTGTACACCCAGTATAACATTAACTGTCACCCACACTATAATATTAATCCAACCCCACACTAAAACATTGCCCGTTTTCCACACTATAAAAGTGACTGCAACCCACCCTATTAATTCACTGCAGCCCACATTATAACATTAACCGCGACCCTCGACCGCTGCCTGCTAATCTTGACATTAGCAAGTAATATATACCTGTAACTTGTACATAGTAACCTTATCTTCTATGTCAAAACTGCATTTTCTAATTCTACTAAATCAGTGGTTCTCAACCTTCCTAATGCCGCGACCCTTTAATGTCGTGGCGACCCCCAACCATAAAATTATTCTCATTGCTACTATATAACTTCAGTGAATATGTGTTTTCTGATGGTCTAAGGCGACCCCTGTGAAAATGTCGTTCGACCCCACCCCCACCCCCTATAAAAAGGTCGCGATTATATAGGTTGAGAACGGCTGCACTAAATGAACTTCCCAACACTGAACACTTTTTGAAAGAATTTTAATCCTGTTTTATTCCTGTGAAATATTACATTCAGAAACATTAATGTCTTATAAGAACACTGACAAATGATAAAAAGGCGATGGGGTGGGTGGGGGGGGGGGGGAATTTAGGGTTGGGGGGGGGGGTGGACTTATAATTTGTTTCTGTATTCCCGTCTAAGACTCCAACCTGAAAACTGACACCCGCTGACTCAAAGAACCACTTTTATAATACGAGTCCAGTATGAATAATCTCTGAATCATTTGTTCAACCAGGTAAATTATATTAGTTCACCCTACTAATAGACGAGACAACCTGATGAGTATGGGTTAACTGATGCCAAGCTGAAAAGAAGAGACGATATAAATGAACGCAGAATTCAAAAAAGAAACTGCACACATTTTAAAACAAAAGAAAACGTTTCTGATAATGTCACCGTCAGCGAAAAACAGGAACGCTGTCTTCTTAATGTGTACCTTGATAAAGACTTTGGTTGACGTGCTAGAAACATGCGATTATTATCTATTGGTCCTTCCTTACTGCGAGATTCTTTTATTGATTTTTAAAAAATGAGAATAATTGATTTCCTAAACAATTGTTGGCTGGTAATGACTTTTCTTTTTGGCAGCTCAAAGTATTTCAGACCCCAGAGAGAAAACATAGTGACATTCTTCCAGATCTGAACCCTGAAGTGGACTGGCACATGCAGAGTGAAATTTCTGGAAAACTGAAATACTTTGCACCTGTTAAAATGGTTTGAGGAGGGGTGGGTAAGGTATGGTGTGATTCATTGGCAAAAAAATGTAGAGGGCGACCAGCCTGACTGTGGAGAGATAATATCAAGAACACTCTCGGCATGAAAGTTCTAGAGGAGGGAAAGATGGTAGTGGGCCAAGTGGTTTTCCTGTGTTTCCAGACGAAAAAAGATGTTCTGCAATGTACTTGTTACATGATGATATTTATGTCATGAGTTTAACCTTTATATTTTAATCTTTGCGTTAGTATCTTTTTTTCCCCAACTTTATAACCCACCTTTACTTCCTATCTTTATTTCCCATACTTATTTCATTTTCCATCTTTATTGCCCATCTTCATTTCATCTCCCATCTTTATCTCCTATATTTAATTTTTCATATATATTTCACTTCCCATCTTTATTTACTATCTTTATTTCTTATCATAATATCACTCATCATCTTTATTTACCATCTTGACTTTGCATCTTTTTTCCCATCTTTATTTCAAATCTTTGTTTCCCGTCCTTATTTCTCATGTTTATTTCCTATCTTTATTTTCCATCCTTATTTAATTTTCCAGCTTTATTTCCCATATTTATTTTATTTCTCATCTTTATTTCCCAACTTTATTTCATCTCCTATCTTTATTTCATCTTCCATCTTTATTTCATCTCCAATCTTTAGTTCTCATCTTTATTTCTGCCAGCGTGGCTGCCGGCATAATGGCCCGCTCCGGCCCCTGCTACACCACCTGCAACAATGGTAGAGTATCCAAGTCCCGCTGCCCCTGTCGACTGCAGAACGGAAACTACTCCCATGCCCACCTTGGCAGACATCAGCTTGGCAGCCAGTGAACCGCCAACGATACCACCTGTAGACGCAAGGAAATTAATTAGAATACTAATAAAGTGCAGAGGTGACAAAAATTGGGCGCTCAGGCCACTTTAACAAAAAATTTCGAGGAAGTTCTTTTTAAAGGTAATTGTTAATGCATTTCATATTAATTCACATGTACTATTATATTTATCTAATATCCAGTACTTTATTATTATTATCGTTATTACATTGCTAAATTAAGTATATGCTCATTGCAAACCCCCTCTCGCCACCCCCATCCCTACGGTGTGTCTAACAATATTTTCTGTGTGTCAGAGAAACTGATAAGATGTTCAAGATAGACTGTGCTGCTTGCTGACCATTGTGGGAAGCAGAAGAATGGTAAAAACCAAGAACGAAAATGACTCTTTATGATATAGCAGGCTCTCTCAAATCGTTGCTTCCATCGTGGTTCAAAGGAAAGGCTCTTTGTCATGTGTGAATTCCCTCTCCTGTCTTGTGTCTTTTCATTCGCAAGAGGTATCTAAAGGTGTGTGTCCATCTTGACGCTGGTCGACCTCCGCTTGGTCATCTAGAACAACGTCCTTCTTCTTTCTTAGCCACAGTGGTCATTGATATGTTTAAACATATCTTCTGTCCGTCTCTTTAGCTAAACACTTTGCTTTGCCAAATGAAGATTGGATTATGAGAAGAAAGTATCACGAGGAGAAAAAAAAAAAAATTACCAAGTGAACGCTGAATGGAAATAAAGAGAACGGATAAACAAACTTGTCCTTCAAAGCAGAGACATGCTTACACACATATATGTATAATTCGGGTTAGTCGTGTTTTATACACACACGCGCGCGCACACAGAAATATATATATATATGCCTAAGGAGCTCTGCCCACCACCACCACCACCCCCAAAAAAAAAAAGATTGTAAAAAGAGCTCTACGGTTCAAAATAGTTATATGATACTGGTGTAGAGAATGGTGCAGTGGGAGCGGGAGGGGGGGGGGGGTGGGTGGGGTGACCAGAGGATCTAGTCGACACTCAAAACTCATGAGGAAAGACAAGACAAACACACAATAACATAACTAACTGCTGGTACCATGGAATTTGGGTTTTGTGCTTGCTGTTGAAGGTTGTGGACAAAAAGCTCATGGAGAAATCCCGAGTTCTGCGATGTCAATTCGTAGCACGATTCAGCTGAACTCAAGTCTCCTTCACATCTGTTCATGATTCTGTCATTACATTTTTATTCTTTTTTATTCAGCATAAGTGAAAATGCCACACACTTTGAATATATAGGCTTTATAATAAAAAAAGCAATGGAGAGTGCTTGACAGAAATTAAAAGGAGGATGGCCATAGCAATGCAAAGAACAAATAGCCTTAAAAGTCTATAGTTGAGCACCAGCAAGGAAATCAAAATTAACATTTTGAGAGCAGGCATCTTCCCTGCAGCAATATTTGAATGTGAGTGGTGGACTGTCTTCCAGTGCTTAAGAAAGAAAAATATGAGCTTTTGAGCTGAAATGCTATAGAAAGATTCTCATAAAGTCACGGACAAAGAAGAGAAGAAATACCGATGTTTTAAAAGATCTGAACATCAAGGAAGATTGGCTAATAAACAACATCTTGTCCCTGAAGCTGAAATCTTTTGTTTATTTCAAGCGCCACAGCGGATTGGGGAGAAAAAAACCCAGATGGCATGTTACCAGAAAGGAGGGTAAGAGCCGATCAGTACGAAGATGGGCACAAGATATAAGTGACTCCTTGAATATGAAAGTACACGAGGCGGGACAACTGAAGAGAGACCGTTTCTTTAAGGCAGACCTTGATGAGAGCGACCTTCTTCAAAGAACCTGCTACATGACGATCATGATGATGATGACACTTCTGCACCATATAATGATGTTTTAGATCATTATTGAATGGATCACATTACCAGCACTAAATCCAGCAGCGCCAAGAATTACTGGAGCTCCCACAGTCACAAGGGCAACCCCAGCTGCAGCCCCCACAAGCTCGTACCAAAAGCCTTGCACAACCAACGGCTGGGCAGTCAACAGTAGTAGCATGTACACAAAACCGGCCAGTTTTGCCATGATATTCTAGAAACAGAATACAGGATCATTGAAATGAATCTTTATTGTATATCAAGAAAGATCAACACAGATAAAGACGGAGAAAGAGGGAGTGACAAACAGATACATAGAATAACAGAAGAACACAGAACGAGAGAGAGAGAGAGAGAACGAGAGAGAGAGAGAGAGAGAGAGAGAGAGAGAGAAAGAGAATGAGAGAGAGAGTGAGAGATGGAAAACAGAAGGAAATAAAAGGAGGGGGTGTGTGTCAGAAAGCAGCAGTGAGAAAGTTTGAGAGAGAGAGAGAGAGAGAGAGAGAGAGAGAGAGAATGAGACAGAGAGTGAGAGATGGGAAAAAAGAGGCAAAAAAGGGGGCGGGGGGGGGAAGTGTCAGAGAGCAGCAGTGAGAAAGTTAGAGAAAGAGAGAGAGAGAGAGAGAGAGAGACAGAGAGAGAGAGAGAGAGAGAGAGAGAGAGAGAGAGAGAGAGAGACAGCATCTTTGAAATGCTGCCTTCAATGTAATGCTGTTTGTATCTTTCTCTATAAGTGTATTTATGCTATGAACCTCTCTGTTACACTGTATTTTTGTGTGTCTTTCTTTATGAATGAATCTAGGCACCAATTATGTACGATCCTCTCCGTTACTCTGTACGTGGCCCATTGTGTATGAGTGTGCCCTATCTCATTTTCTCACAGTCACATTTTGTTGGTGTCTTGTTTGCCCTTACGTTTCTGTTTGACTAGCTGTCTTCCATCCCCCACCATCCATTTCTCTATGTTCATATGTCTTTGTCACAGTTTGGCTGGCTGTCTTCTACTTCCAGATTAATTTCTCTGTCGTCTCTGTCTTTGTCTCTCATCATATTTCTGTCCATATCATTTATGGTTTTGTGTTTTTCCTTGTCCTTTCTTTCTCTGCCTCTCTTACGCACTTTTCTCTCTTCCTCTTTGTGATTTTTCTTGTCTGGTTATCTGTCGCGCCTTCTCTTCTCTTTATCTTTCTCTCATATCTGTATTTCAGCATATAAGTATCTGAATTTGTATCTCTCTATATGTCTGCCTGCTTGTCTCTCTGCCTGCTTGTCTGTTTCTCTGTCTGTCTGTCAATCTTTCTCCCTTTAATTCTACTTCTGTTCATCACTCTGTCAATATCCTTCTTCGTATATCTCTCTCTCTCCTTCTCTCTCATTGCGCCTTTATTCATTCTTGCCTGAATACCTACCCGCTCAGCAGCTATTCAGCATGTCTGTCTGTTTGTCTGTCTGTCTAGTTACTGTCTATCACTCTAAAAACTATGAGGTTAGAAAGATTGGGAGGACATGGGGAGAGCTCCATGCAATGGCGAAGGATAGAACGACTTGGCGTGAGTTGGTTGAGGGCCTATGCTCCATTGGGGGAGACCGAAGAAGACTCTAAAAACTTACAAACGTTCACACACCAGTTCCAAATGTTACAGCAACTTTAAATAACTCAATGCTGTATTGTTGCGATTGCGATAGCGTCATTTCCACTTTGAAACCGATTTGAAGATTTCATTGGAAGACTTCCATTGTGGAATGCTGCTGGATGCTTTCAAAGGGTCTTTTAAAGAAGTCTTTTTATGGGATCTTTTTAACGGTTCCGTTTAAGAGGTATCTCTTTAAGCAGCAGCTTTAAGGGATCTTTTTAAGCATAATAAAGTACAGATAAAATAAAACAAGCCGTATTGAATAAAACCCGGTACAATGAAGTCGATCCTCTCGGCTTTATCCTTAAATCTTTTGTTAACTTTAACTTTAAAGCTATATTTTAAGCAATTAACGATTGCTATACATTTATTCAAGAACTGGTCCCAATAGGAGTCGCCGTGATGCAGCGGTTAGATGCTGTCCTGTGAATCCGAAAATCGTGGGTTCAAATCCGAGCTGTGCCGGCTTTTTTTCTTCTTCAAACATGACCTTGGCTCCCAAGTCTATCCAGCCTTAAATGAGTACCAGTTAGGGTCCTGGGAATCCCCGTTAGCTCACCCCGCTTCTTTTTTAGAAGTATACTGGATAGCACATACAAAGTTCAGATGTGAGAACTTCAAACATTACTTTGTCAGTTGCCACATTTGCATCTTGAGTCTAGGTTTCAATTGGAAAATGATTTGAACATTTTTCTTAACATTCTATTTCTAAAATATAATTTTTGTTAGGTTCTGTCCTGAAATTTATGCTGCTGTATAGTATTCGGAATCCGTTTTAAATTTTAAAAGTGAGCGAGGGTTGTACACTGTTTACGAAGGGGCTAAAGGGGCTACAAGTCAGCAGTTTTCTTGAAGTCTTTAATAGGGAGTGCCTTTAATTGCTTATACTGGAATTTAAACTGACATTTTAAACATTTTTTTAAATTTAGTTTTCCTTACCTCGGTTTCACTGCCCTAGCCCTGGAGCTTCAAGTGTATTGCAAAATAGGCCTAACTACTACAGTGTAAACTTATTCTAATATTTTCCTACTGGCTCGCCGGTAATCGCCTTCTAATTGTTTCATTGCAGAATCTCTTTGTATGGCATTTCAAATGATATTCCCATTCTGAGTTTGGCCTTCAAGTGAGTCTAGGATAACTCCAAGATACATGGGTATATCTGAAGTATTTGTTTGTTTTCTAACATTATGGACATTCTTTGCGTGTGTGGAAGGGATGGGATGTGGGGAAGGACAGAGAGAATGCACAGTTGCCGATTGCGTTGTTTGCTTTACTGAAGATTTAACTCTTTGCAAAGCTCTCAGCATTCTCCACATACTTTAGAAGTAGACAGGAAGCTGTTCCTGTGTTTTATCTAGCTGTACTAATGTACATTGCTCTAAGGGACCCAATGTCAGTTTTACTCACTTGCCGAAGAATTCATAATGCATGTTGTGAGTCTTAATCTTCCTACTCTTTGCGTTTACCGGCTGTAAGCTTGCCTGTTTGGGTTCCAGGACTTCTTTGGAGAAGGAAGAATAGACCCCTTGTCCCTTGACAAGCATGTCGTAAAAGGTGACTAATTAGGGTTTGTTTTTCAACGTCGTAGCGCATCTACCTGAGAGCCGAGAAACCAGTGAGAATACAAGTGATATTATCTCCCACTTTGATCCAGCTTAAAATAGGTACCAGTAGCACCATAGGCCGATTCGACTCTGGGGCGAAACTCTTTACTTATTAGCTAATATAAGGTCTTCTATAATACTGCCCAGACTTCGTGATAAGGAGGTAAGAAACATGTCTACGGGTCTTGCTGGTCATCCCCAACCCCACCTGAAAAAAAAATCTTGCTGGAATCAAACCCTTCCAGCTAAACAGAAAATGGGACATGAAGACATTGGCGCCTGAACCGGGTGCTCTGGCCAATTGAAGCTCGCGTTCACAAATGTTGTAGATGACTACTGCAAAGAAAATGTGTCAAACATGTCAGCTATACAGTGCAAAGTGTATTAAATAGATTATATACTTACACTTGTAAGACTGCGCTGCCACAAAACAATCAATCTTCTGTGTGACGAGAAAACAACTGGAGAGAAAGATAGTTTGTTTTGTAGACTAAACAACCCACAAGTTAAACTTAAATTTGAAGTCATCAGTCAAGTTTACTAAAGATTGCATCATCGTAATTATCATGTATCAAGCAGTTTGCGGAACGTCGCTATCACCATGGTCTGCCTGACAGAAACTCGTGCTCTCGCCAGCTCTCCTAAGGTATCTCATATGTTGGTTAGCCCCTGCCCCTCTTTCCTAGTATCATTCCTTATGCCATTGTATTCTCAGAATATTTCAGTTTCCGAGACAAGATGCTGTTTGTCCTTGATGTTCAGATCTTTTAGGATGTGGGTATTTGTGTTCTTCTTGGGTCAATGCGTTCTGAGAATCTCTCTAAGCATTTCAGCTCAAAAGCCCCATTTTCTTCCTTTGTCACCTTAAGGTAGCCTTCGACTGACATCAATATCTTGCTACAGGTAAGATGCACGCTGTCAAAACTGTAAGCATAGCAAATTGTGTGGTTATTAGAGAGCATATATCAAACATAATATATTGTGAAGTCATTAGTCAAGATTATTAAACATAACACACCGAGAGGTTTTTAGACAACATATTTGTAAGGTCACTAGTCAACATATATCAAGCATGTTATAATGTGAGCTTCTTAGTCAGCATATATGAAACAAAACAGGTCTGTTCTGAAGTCACCATTATTATAAATATCACACTGTATCACACTAACAGTCATCAAAAAGATCATTCATTCATTCAGTAGCATGTCCCTCGCGGAACCTCGCTGCCATAACAACCCTCCGGAAAACCTTCCTATCCTGAGCAAGATGTCCTGCGTCTGATACACCCATCTGGAGATCATCTGCCACATCCTGCACCCATCTTCTCCTTGGCCTTCCTCTTCCTCTCTTCCCAGGCATATACCCCTCCATTATTGTTCTCTCTAGACTTCCATGACGTTATCAGAAAGATCACATAACTATTTTTTTTAAAATCAAGAATCAGCAGCCAAACCGTGTCATAAAGGATATAAAAGATAATTTCCAAGCAAATCTTAGTTAAAGGCCCTGTTTCAACGTAATGGGGTGTACTATTTGTATGGCGCTGACGTAATCTTTACTGCAACAATAAATGCATGTAAATAGGATTTCTGAGACAAATACAGGGAATACTGATATTAAACTAATATAAAAATAAAATCAGTCAAGGCGCCAAGAGACTTTCGAAAATAGTGAACTGATTACAGAAATTTAATTTGGGGGAGAGGTGGCACGGTAAAGATACAAGGATAATTACTCGTATATGGATTGCTTGACCACACGAAATAGGTGGGACAAGAACACTGACCTGACCCCTGGTTTTGGTAATCTTGTCAGATAACGAATATATCAGCATACATACATACATACATACATACATACATACATACATACATACATACATACATACATACATACATACATACATACATACATACATACATGTATATGTTGCATACATACATACATACATACATACATACATACATACA